GTGTCCCCCGCCCTGCCGGTGACACTGTCCCCATCCAGGGGCCAGGCAGGTAGTGTGGCCAGGTTAGACAGCACTGGGAGCAGCCTGCTCTAGTGGAAGGTGTCCCTGCCAACGGCAAGGGGTTGGAACTGGATGAGCTTTAAGGTCCCTTCCAACTCAAACCATTCTGTGATCCTGTGATTCCCAATCATCATTTAAACTACTGGATAGCTTGAATATCATACAGTGACCACATACTGGCAAACAGTTTACCACCACCAGGACTCCAGAGTGTTTTAGACTAAAACCCCAGTAATTCCCTATTCCCCTTCCCTCCATAAAAACAATGCCTGAAGTAAAATATTCTCCTGGAAAGTATTCCCCCCCCCCTTACCTTCTAAGGAGCAGTATATAGCTTGTGCATGTGATTTACAGTATGCATCATGAAGATATTAGCAGCAGTGTAGAGATTTATGTCTAGGTGCAGAAGACTACTGGTTCATAAAATAAAAAGAAAAATATGAAAATAAAAGGAAAATATGAGAATTAACCAAAAATATTAGAATACAATAAAACTCTTGCCAGCTCCTTAGGGCATAAGCTTTATTCACACAAAATATTTGTCTGATGGATCAGTATTTCACAGCAGGTTTCTACCCCAGAGCAGAGGAGAGCAAAGCAGGACTCACTATCCTTTATATGCCCTTGAGGAAACTCCAGTTGCAGAGCAAGAAAAGGTCAAACTTTGGTGGGTTGACTCTTTATATGACTCTTGACTGGGGGAAGGGCAGGGGGCACAGAGGCGGTGCACGCCAACACGCAGACCAGACTGGCGTAATCAAACCCATCCCAGAATCTCCAGCAGAGCCACTCGGACACGCTGTGACACAGCCGACACACGCACAGGAGCGCGCCAAGGCTGTCGGCGGGGCTTTCATCTGCGGGGAGACGCTGCCCCGCTTCATCCCACCAGCAGCAATTCATTTTTCAAAAGAAATGAGACCAAGGTGCTGTTGTTATAGCAACAGCTGAGCCACTCGCCAGCCCATCCTCCACCGTCGTGCTGCCTTCAGTGGGTGGCTGTTCAGTCATCCACCAGCAGTG